TGTATTTTTGATACAAATTCTGTATCACATATGATATGCCATTATTTTTGCCTAGTGTATGCCTTTTCATTTTTTAAATAGTGTTTTTCACAGAGCAAAGTATTTAATTTTGGTGTAGGTCAATTTATCAAAATTTCTTTTTTTTTTTTTTTTGAGATGGAGTCTCGCTCTGTTGACCAGAGTGTGACACAATTTCAGCTTACTGCAACTTCCTCTCCCCAGGTTCCAGCCATTCTCCTGCCTCAGCCTTTCGAGTAGCTGGGGTTACAGGCACCCACCACCCCGCCCAGCTAATTTTTGTATTTTTAGTAGATACAGGGTTTCACCATGTTGGTCAGACTGGTCTTGAACTCCTGACCTCAAGTGATCCCCCCACCTCAGCCTCCCAAAGTGCTGGGATTACAGGCATATGCCACTGTGCCCTGCCCCAAATTTTATTTTATGGACTATGCTTTTGATATTGTGTGTAAGAAATGTTTGCCTAACCCAATGTCACAAATTGTCTAATATATTCTGTAAGTCTTACAGTTTCAGGTTTCACATTTCGGTCTATAATCTTTTTTGAGCTAATTTTTTATATGTTGTTGGATATGGATTTAGGTTCCTTTTGACATATTGATATCCATCTGTGGAAAGACTATTTTTTTTCCCATTAAATTGCTCTGTATTGGTTGGCCATATATGGGTGAATATTTCTGGACTCCCTGTTCTGTTCCATTGATATATTTGTTTATTTTTATACCAATACCAGTGCTGTCTCAGTTACTTACAGCTTTCCAATTGGTCTTGGAATTAGGTAGTTTTCAACTTTAGGTAGTTTTTCAAACTTTAGTCTCCTTTTCAAAGTTGTTTTGGTTAATCTAGGTTCTTTGCATTTTCATATAGATTTTAAGATGAGCATGTCAATTGCTACAGAAAAACCCACTGCAATCTTGATTGGCATTTCATGGAACTCGTAAAATAATTTGAGAAAATGGACATCTTAACCACATTGAGTTTTCTGATCTATTAACATAGTATCTCTCCATCTATCTTGTTCTTTAATTTCTCTCAGCAAGGTTTCCAGGACACAGATCTTATACAACTGTCAGCAATTTATTTTCATATCAACTTGTATTTGTGTATGACTAATATATAAGAAATGCATTTGATTTTTGTGTATTGATCTTGTATCCTACAAT